TAATAATTTTGTTGTGGGTTTATTTTATTAGTTTGTGTTGTTTTTAAATATGTCTGTATTATTTTTATTCCTGTTTAGTTTTAGTTGTTTTACAAAATCAAGCGTTTTATGATTTTTATTTATTTATTTATTATTTTTAGTTAACTATAGTAAACCTGACAGGAATTGCTCATCCTAAGACAGAGACTCTCGTGAAAATGGCCCAGACCATCATAGGAGCCTTCTTCCTGCTCTTAGTCTTAATAACACTAAAAGGGCACATACACTGAAAAGTGCAAAAGGACGGCCATCAAGGTGGTTCACTTTCACCTGCCCCAGAGTATGTTCACAGCACTGTCAGGAAGTGTGAGTATTCAGGCCTAATCTACTGCACAGCCTCTTTGATGCACTGCAGCCACTTTAAGGGTCTCTGACACTTCAGACCAGGATTGCTCAACTAATGCACTTTCTGTGCTGGTATATTTCCTGTTTTTCGATCAATGCACTCCCATATATATATATATATATATACACACACACACAGCTGTGCTCATGAGATTACATACCAATTACAATTCAAAGTTTGCCCCCCACCCCAGCTCTTAATGCATTGTGTTGCTTTTTTGAGCATCAGTAAATGTTTTCACCTTATATAATACTTATGTATGAGTCCCCCAATTGTCCTCCATGTGAAAAGATGGATCTCAAAATCATACAGTCACTTTTGTAAAAGGTTCAAATATATATTAGTGCTGTCAATCGATTTAAAAAAAACTAAATCGCACATTTTTTCTGAAATTAATTGTGATTAATCGCGGTTAATCCCACCTAACATTAACGTTTTTAAATATACTGTTATATTGCAATAATTTCACATTCAATCTTCAAATTAATGTACAAACAACATAAAGACAGTATATTTCTTTAATGGCATATTTTTTTATGACTGAAGGCCAGTATCACTGATACCGATACTACTGATGTCTCTATAAAATTAGTTTTTCCCCCCTAATATTTAACCATTGACTATAGCCATTCAAAATTACAGTATAATTGAGAGCTATCAATTTGAAAATTTATTAGACTTTAAAAAAATAACTTCTGACTTAAAACAATCTTCACATAACCCATCTGTAATAAATATTATTTACCTGTGCCCTTCATCAGAAATATACAGAAATTGAAGTTATCAAACTCTAAATTCTAAATTAAATAGAGATAAATCCTTAAAGCTATAAAAGTTATCGATTTCCCCCTTTTTTTTTCTTTGATGAACAGACATCACAGCAGCTGGTTATTAGGTTGTTTTGACTGCTATTTCTTTAAGAGCTGCCGCTGCTGAACGTGACGTGGCTCTGACACACATCATTTTCTGACTCACTTCAGGTCTTAAAGTCTCAATGTCTTAAACCGAACAACTAGCCTTAAACAACGAGCAATATTTGACAATAGCACATTTGCCAACATAGCGTTAAGCAATGAAAATGAAATAAGAAACTTAGCAGGAAATGTTGCTTAATATATTTACGGGGGAAGCATCACCCCAAGCTCAGCAAGTGAGGAACCAGAGGAAAACGACTGTAGTTACGTGTATTTTTAATTTTAATTTTTAATTTTAACATTGAGATTCTGCTGCTGAATACAGCGAACCCCAGTTGAAACGCATACACGAGAATGCGTGTTTCATTTAAACTTGTTCTCATGGCCTTAACTATCAGTGTGTCCTCAGAGCGATTACATGCTCTAGACTACGTGTTGCTCCAGCTGTATGAACACAGATGCGTAAATGCTGCTGCAAATATGCTTTTTTCAATTAGCAGACCAGGTAATATACACAGCGATATGGATTAAAACAGCATTCACTTATCTTAGATATATTATAATAATAAAAAATACACGTAACTACAGTCGTTTTCCTCTGGTTCCTCACTTGCTGAGCTTGGGGTGATGCTTCCCCATAAATATATTATTAAGCAACATTTCCTGCTAAGTTTCTTATTTCATTCTCATTGTTTAATGCTATGTTGGCAAATATGCTATTGTCAAATATTTGTTCGTTGTTTAAGGCTAGTTGTTCAGTAACATGTTTGTTTGCTAGGCACGCTGTTGCTTTAGGCTTATTGGTTGTATTTTGACACACTGGTAACATTAACGTTACCCAGTTAAACTTACCACAGCTGAGGCTTGTTTTAAAATCTGTTTAAGACTGTCTGATATGAAACTTAAGGCTCATCTAGTATTGAGGATGCTGTTTCATTAAACACATCCTATATGTATGATTATTTCCATCAAGCTGTGTTTAAGTCCGTGATATGCTGTTGCTTAAAGCTATACAGTGTATCGGTAATGTGCTTGATACTTAACTTGCAGTATGTAGATTTTGCTACTAAAGGTGTTATTAATGCTAACGATTATCTGGATAGGGCAACATGCTGTTGCCTAAACTTCGGGTATTGACCATATGCTGTACTGCATTAAAGTGGCATGCTGCTCTTCTCAGCTGCTTATTAAAGGAGAGCACCCCTTCACTGCTTCTCTTCTTAAAGGGCATGCTGCCCCAGTCTATGCTATTTCAGAAGGTCTTTGCTTTAAAGCTATTAGGGTATTGGGATTTTGCTTGCTTGTTAGGGCTTATCTAGTGTTCAGTATCATGTTTGTCGCTAGACTTGCTTGTTGCTTTAAGCTATTGGTTGTTACTGCAAGTGCTGGTACTTAGTTAAACTTGCAACAGCAAGAAGCTAATGTTTAAGCTGTTGTTTAGGCCATCCGATTGTTCTTGAAATATGCTTGCTGCTTATGGCTCATCTAGTATTGGGAATGTTATTTCCTTAAGTTTCTGACTACTGCAACATGCTGTGATTAAGCAAGCAACATGCTTGTTTATCTAGTATCTAGTGTATTGGTAAGGATTTTTGTCTATGCTCACGCGGGTTGTCAGATTGAGGACACAACGAGCACAGAGCACAAATGTCAATGGGAGACGGCCAACCTGTAAACTGATGAGTAGATTTGAGTTATTATACGCTGTTGTTATAGACTTTTAAATGGATGCTGAAGCTTTTAGGCCAGGTAGAATCTGTGATCTCTGATCCGTTCATTGCTCGCTTCTATGGCTGCAGTATGCTATGTTTGCTGCAAACTAGGCTGCCAATTCTAGTGGGTTTTCTGCATCTTTTTCAGGTATTGCATTAAAGGGGCTTGCTGCTCTTCTTAGCTGCTTATAAAGAAGAGCACACCTTCGCTGCTACTCTCCTCCGGTATGGGACTTGCTGCTCTTCTTAGCTGCTTATAAAGAAGAGCACCCCTTCGCTGCTACTCTCCTCCGGTAAGGGGCTTGCTGCTCTTCTTAGCTGTTTATAAAAAAGAGCACCCCTTCGCTGCCTTCTCCTGTAAGTTGCTGCTACCCAGTCTCTGTTACTGCCAAACCAAACTTTATGCTAAGTATCTATCATTTTGACGATAGTGGTCCTGACAGAAATGAACTGACGCATTGAATTGGGTGTGTTAGATGAAGGAGACAGTGCTGGGCTGCTCCAGGACAGTTTTGAAAACCATTTCAGAGTTCTTACATGTGACTCATCTATAATATATTATAAGCATGCACAGTTTTTAGGCAGCTTTAATCGCCTTTTTGGTAACTTCATGCCTTAACTGACCACAACATTGCATGCACGTAGTTTCATTCGCGCTTTGATATGAAAAGATACAGGCTACAGCGCGCGCCGACGCCTTTGTGAGTGCAATTGAAGAGCACGCGCTACGAGCCCAGTACCGTTTCCGCGCTAGTTTGACTCGCGCCTGGAGCTGAAGTGAAGTTGGAGCGCATGTCTGAATCTCTGGTTTGATGTGGTCGTAAAGACGTTCTGCAACTAAATAAATGCACTTCTTTGCAAGAAAAAAGAGACAGAGGCAGCAGTTGTGAGTGCAGTGACCAACACTAGCCCCGCCCCTGCGTTAACAGCGTTAAATATTTTTAATGTGTTAAACTAAAAAATGAATCGCCTGCATTAACGCGCTAATTTTGACAGCACTAATATATATATATATATATCTAGACTTCAGATTAGATATATACAGTGTGTGTGTGTGTGTATATATAATGCATACTCTGAAAGCGCTCCACAAGACATGTGTGATTATATTACTGGATGCTCGAAATTGAACGGGAGAATGCACAGTTTAAACAGCTTATTGTACAGGTACATTAATCGCCATTCTAATCTAATGCGCTGATGCA